TTTCACATATTACTGCTATTTGAGTTTGAAATCATCTCTTGTCTTCTCAACTTCCCCTTATTTTAACAGAAATACTAACAGCAGTACTAATCACAACCTACAACTCATTCATTACGAGAAATAAAACTTGGCAGCTGAGCGCCAGATTGATACTATCATATTGTCGCAATTACCAACACTCTCTTTAACTGGGGAGTTGATTGCAAGTTCTATACGGCGTCCCTATGGTGATAACTGCAAGCAGTTTCAGCTGCCAAAGCTTGCAGCAGTATGTTGAGGACTGTAAAAGCTTGAATAGGTGCCTGGTGGTAACGATGTCGAACGCTTTGACTTATTAGATAATTCTTAACTTACTCAAAAGCCTCAAATATTACAACTGAATGAATACTGGAGACACGACGATAAAGGTGAACAAATAAACGTCACTGAGTACCAACCAACTAACCTAAACTCTACTAATGTGTCGAAAACTTAACTCATTAATTGGAAAGAAGCACTGGTCAACACAACCCTTAGTATTTCTTACACAAATAATAATAAAGAATTATCACAACAAATATACAAAGTAACGCTTAAGTAAAACAAAAGAAAATTAAGAAAGTTCAAACAGAAAACTATTTGAAACTAAAGTAGAAACAAATTCAAGTTGAACTAAGAACTGAACTTTTATACCTTTCGATTAGGTAATATTCTTCCGGCACAACCTTCGAGACCGTGCCCCTCAGGGTCATGTCTGGTCCATTACCGTCTTCGGTCTTTGCAGCGATTTCGCGTGCCGTCGCGACAGATACATGAATTAATCGTCGCTCAGTAATCAATGCTTTTTTTAGGCGTCAGTTCAAACTTTACAAAAACTTCAAAAATTTCCTCTCGGCCACCGCTTTCGTGGCCTTCAATCCTTTTCTGATTTAGTACATCAGGGGTTTCTTTTCAAATGCGGGCTACAGCGCCTACAGCATATGGTTATTTACTTACAAGTTAGGGAACATATACTATTTAGTCACCAATAACTGAAGAAGTAAAACTGTACACCATAGCAGAAACATTTATGGGCACGGCAGACGTACGCAAAAAAAGAAAAAGCAAACCGGCAGGTCTAATAGAACTGTTGGTACACTTCAGCAGAGCCTTCGATGTAGATTGAAACTGGAAATTCAATGCTGTTCCTTGCTCCTTCCAGTATACCAACTCCCAGTCTTCTACACTAACGTCGCAGGACTGTACAGCAAAACTAGCAATATTTTGCACTGTGACTTACGCATACCTCAACATGAAAATATTTATATTTAGCTTGGTTCTCTCAAAGAGCGTATTTCTCCAGTCATCTGTACTGATATTGTAGTTCTGTCAAAATTACTTTGTCCTCAATCATTTGGTAATGATTATTCAGTATTATTTCCCGTCAAGTATCATTGCGCATGAACTGTAGTTTCAGAAGTCATTCGGTTAACAGTTTTTAATTACAGTGATTATCAGGGAATAATAAAACCTCAAAGTTTAAATTCAGCTGCTTGAAGCATCTCGATTAAAACTCCGAGTTCCTTCTAAGATTCTGAATGGTTTAAAAGGTTGTTTTAAGCAGCGCCTTCTTCATTGCAACTCATTACAGAATCATTAACGAAGGGCTCGCCGTTTACAGGTTTGTTTTCACTGTTTGTTAACTGAAATACAATAGAAATTAGAATTTAAAATTTTACGACAAATCGCTTGAGAAGTTATATTGCGGAATGGCTTTGGACAATGAGACGATCATTTGAACTTTTTTTCTATTCGTACTGTAATTTTTTACAAGTAGTTTTACGTTTAGAAATGTATTTTTCTACAGTGTCTTTTTCCAGATTTTTGAAGCAGAGTATTGGTTTCACTTTTGCATTTCTATCAAAGTCATTCTTTTTTTCAGTAGACTGCTGTTTTTCTTGTTGCGTAAATTTTGTTTCTCTCTTCAACAGGGGGTGAATAATTGAATTAATATGTATTGTATTGTAATTATCACGAATGTTATATATAAATCTTTGTGCACCAATAAAGTGATGTCTATATTCCTTACGTGATTACCTTACACAAACAAGGAAGAAAGAGCAAAACACTACCGGTTTTTGGTATACAGAAAACTTGTCGGTTAAACACTTTGTGGCAGCTAATTTTCGCATAGGTTTACTGATTTACAAAGTTGTGCTATTACATAATGCGAAAATAAAGAATAAGGTTTACCATCAAAGTTGGCTGCTGTCCTAATCTCAGCCTTGAAGTGTCTTTCAAATTTTTTAGCGTAGTTAGTTGTTAAACTGTAGGAAAGTTTGGAATGAATAGCAAAGATTGCTTGCAAGTCAATTAAAGAATAAATTATAGAATTACTACATCTTTGTTGTCACCAAGAAATTTTAGCTAAGATATAATGCTATTCTAAAGAACAGATAGTTATTCTTACGAACATAATGTAAAACGTTCTGTCGAACGCCAACTTTGATATCCATCTAACAATGCACAATGCTGATATTTTTCTTCGTAGTAGCAACTTTCATATTCATTTTTTTTTATCTTTCAAGTTTTATGCAATAAACATTAGAAACTGATAAAAATTTATTAATCGAGCAAAAGAAAAATAAGCTTAATCTTATCTGAATACCAGTTCAAGACTTTAACTGCTGCCGTCATTGCTGTAAAAGAAGCATAGCTGGTCTAGACAGTTTCTTGAGCAGTGCTCAGTAGTTAAAGAATACTTTGGTATGCAAAAGAATTTAACTAATTTCGACTGTAATTTGGCAACATTTTTGAACAATAATTGTGCATTCAAAACTTTTCCGTTTAATCTTATTTTTAATTTGTACATTCCTTATGACACAACAGTAAGTCAGAAGTTGTTGTCTCAAATAATACTTAGTCATTTTTATTTATTTATTTGTTTGTTTATTTTCTACTGTTTTTTATGCAAAATTTTTAGCAATTTTTATCTGATGCATGCGCAGAAAAATTTTACCATTGTTCTGCTGTTTCATTTTTTGGCTTCAAAAACAAATGATGCCTTAGATAGTTGGAATTAAACGATTGCACTAAGAAGGAACAATACTGTTGTTGTTCTGCAGTTGTTGTTGATAGTTGTTAAAGCAAAAGTTATTTGGTGCCAAAGAAAAAAAAAAACAATTCAAGCAAAAAACTTTTAAAAAGATTCCTTCTGTCTTCCTTTTCTTTTTTTTTCTTCTTTTTTTTTCCCTTTTTGCAATCTTATTCATTCTTTAGACAAAATATCTGTTGTGATAAGCTTTCCCAAAACAATCGCTAGAAATGGCAAAAATAAATAAATATTTTTAACATACAGAAAAAAAAGAAAAAAACTAGTTTTTCTTCTTATTTTTACATAAGAACCAAATCGGTGGTTATTCATTTGCATTTGGTGGTCAGTAATGTTCATTATAGTCAGATTATTTGATTCTAAATTTTACGCTTAATAAGCGACAGTTATTTAATCGTCAATGATCACCGTTTGTTGTTGAAAATATTACTGATAAAAAAACAAAGAAAAAAAAAGTTAGATTAGCTTCAAAATTTTTTAATCATTTGTAAATTTGATTTATAGTAATTTTCAGATTTTACTTGCTTTATTTCTTATTTTATAAAAATTTATTTTACAAGTAAGTTTTTTGACAACCGGTAAACTTTTGGATCACTCTTTGTTGTAGCTATTTGTATGGCAAACAGAAATTTTTTGAAAGTTTAACCTTATACTTTTCTAAGGTAAATCTTGTTTTTCTTTTTTTTATGCAAAAAAATATCTTAGCAGAGAGAAAAAAAAGCTTTATTAAAGTCGTCAAAACATTGATTTTTTTAGCAGATTATGTTTAAAAATGTTTTTTAAGCGAATATTTTTTGCTGCACAGGAATATCTATCAGTTATAGTAAACGACACTTAGCGTTCGTGTAGAAATGTATGCTCATATGTCTTATGGTATAGTCTGAACTTGAAATAATCACTCAATCTATCAATGTTTCAAACTGTAATTATTTTAAATGTGACGTATTCAGAAGATCCAAAAATTTACATATTTTTGTTGCTCAGTTATTGTCCAACGTTTAAAAAACACTATTGGCACTTTGGTTAAAGATACTTTTTAAAAGATCTATCTAACTGTTTTACTTCTTTTTGGTTAGTATTGTTAAGCACTTCAAATTTAATTGATTTTACAATTTGTTAACAATTGTTCTTTGTCTTTTTATAAGTCTAAATACCACTTTTGAATGACATACAACGGTTAATACAGCTTACTGAAAACAGTGTTCAATTTGTAGAATTTTCTTAGATTTATAGCTGAAAGCAACATTTTTTTTGTAAACCTCGAAACCTTTATTGTTCTTGTCATTTTAGTGCAAATTATAGTATTAAAAAAACTAGACCAGAGTCTAATTTTTGTCTTTCTTTTGCTTGTTGAAAGTCTTTCAAAAGTTGCAGTAAACGTAATTTTTATCAAAAATATATAAATAAAAATTTTTTTTTAATAGTTCAGCCTATCGAATAAAACCTTAAAACTTTTTCGTCTCATTACAAACGTACCATTTTTTTTCTAAATTTTTTCTTGCACAAATCTTTCAGCTATAACTTCCTATTTTAGAAAAAAAATTTACTGTTAGTCATATGTACCATTTTTCTTCTTTTAAACATTAAAAACATTAGTAGAGCGCAACTTTTGCAAATTCAGTTGATTCTTTTATTTCACTGATTTCTTATTTTTGTTGCTAACATTTTTCACTATTGTCAACGTAATTGCTGCTAATGATCAGCACAGAAACTTGTTAAAATATATAAAATTATCAATGTTTTTTGTATTTTTTAGTTTGATTTTTTTGTTAAAATGTCATTTAAGCGACTTTCCAGAAAAAAAAAAAAAAGAGAAAAGGAACAAAGATTCTTGCAAAATTATAATTTTTTATTACAATTTATTTTTTCTTCTTTTTCTTTTTTTTTTATCAAACTTTATTGCCATTCTAATATTTTCACTAAAGTTTAGATGGAATCTAAGTCTGGTCGAGAGGTACCTGAGAAAGGGAAATTAGAATCAACGGAAGTATTGGGTAAGTCAATGACAAATTTTGCTTGCTGCCCCAATAACGTCCTGTTTGTTAATCAGAATTCTTTTATTACCAAAAGGCTTTTTCATAGTTATCAAATTACTATTTATTTTAAAGTTGTAAAAAAACATCTGAAATTTGTCAAAAAACACTAGCTTGAAACCATGATTGAAGACCAAAAGTCTACAAGTAGATTTTCTGAAAATTTATTACAGATAGTCAAAATAATGATTCTCTAAATGTCGATATCGTAGTACCGCTTCCTCCAGATGGAGGTTATGGCTGGATTATAGTTTTTGCTGCTTTTTCATGTAGCTTTGTTGTCGACGGTATTGCAACAGCATTTGGTCCATTTATTGACGAGTTTACTGAAAAGTTTAATGCATCTGTTGCAACTATCAGTATAATTGGTTCAAGTTTAATCGGCAGTTATTTGATAGTCGGTGAGAGTTGGTACAATATCTATTTGTAAAATTGCATTAATTCTTAATAAAAGTTATTAACTGTCTTTTTTTTTTTCTTAAATCTTATCTTTAGTTTACATCTATATAACATTTTATGGTTTTTACTTTTAAAGCTTTTTCTTAAAACTTCTGTATTGGTGATGTTGGATTCCTAAAGGGCCTCTTGCTGGTGGTTTGGTGAACAGGTTTGGAGTTCGATCTATTGCAATTTTTGGAAGTCTTTTGGCAGGGCTCGGTTTTTTCTTCTCAATTTTTGCTACGAACGTTACCACAATGATATTGTCGTACGGACTGATTGCAGGTCTAGTATTTCTTTGATTTCACTAGTCAAGTTTGATGTTATGTTGAATTACTAAAAGAGTTTGGAATACTTTTTCTCTATGATCATGTAGACCATCTTTCTCTGTTGGTGGTTTGCAAGCAAAACATAGTGATGAAAAATATGTTGATCTTTAAAAACAAGAAAGAAGATTTTTATGATTATATTCCTAATTTTTTTATTTTAACAAATACAGTTTAATGCCACAGTAGAACAAGCTGAACAGTTTTAAAAAATGCGGTTTCCTCTTAGGCTTCAACGATATAATCGTTTCAATAACTTATAGCTTCTATCAAGTATGGTTCTTTTATAATTTTAAAAAATTTTTATGCTGAAACGAACTATACACCTTCATTTTAGCTTCTTATATTCAGCCAAAAGTAAAGTAATTATAAAAAATATGTAAAGATTTTTTAAGTTAATTGTTGCTTTACACTCACTTATTAAGTGAATGTATGTTTCGTAAACTAACATAAATTTTACATACATTTTTTATGCAGTTATTTTGCAAAATTAATTATGTTTTTTACAAGTATAAAATTTGTTTTAAAGCGGTTTAGACCAATGTTTTAAAAAATAAAATAAAGTAAAAAAGTTTTTTTGAACTCAATTTTTGCAATAAATATTGAAGAGTCTAGTGCATTTTTTTAAGAAGAAATTAAACATTCTTAATTTTATAATTTATAGGTTTTTTTTTCTTTTGACAGGTGCTGGCTTAGGCTTTATTTACTTACCAGCTATGGTCATCGTTTGCTTCTATTTTGAAAAAAAACGATCAGTAGCTGTTGGTCTTGCCGTTGCTGGTTCTGGTGTCGGTACCATTGTAGTACCTCCGCTAAACACCTATCTTATAAAAGGTTTATTCATTTTTTTACAGTTAATATTTTAAAAATTTAACACTTCTTGTATTTTTTGAATCTTTAATGCTTTTATTTAGAAATTGGTTGCCAGTGGACACTTGCAATACTAGCTGTGCTTGGATTTTTTTGCGTTTTTTTTAGTTGGTTATTCAAACCGCTAACTGCTGAGCAACCAAAAAAACTGCCTATTGACAACACTTTTTCTGCTATTAATTCGGTTAGTGACAATAAGTGTTGCAGATTTCATCGCAGTTTACTGCTAAACATTTAATCTATCTTTAATTGTAGTAAACTACATGCACAATAAAGTTTTTATCTGAAAATATTAGCAACTTTTTCTGTTTTTTTTTTTAAATGAATCTAGAAGGAATGCTACAATAATGGGCAGACTAGTACTCTTACGCCAAAAGACAGGTGTCAAGAACTGATGGATGAGAACAAGAACGATTTTAATCCAGGTTACTTCTTAATAATGCTTTTATGTCTTAAAAAAGAAATTAAAACATTTAGCTAATTTTAATTAGAAAATATTCAAAAGAAAAAAAAAGAGAGAAAAGTGAAATTAGAAAACAAATCAAAAAAGCGTTAGTTGAATCATTAAGAAAGAAAAAAGAACTGCAGAAAAGGAAGTG